TTATTTGAACTCAAGATGATTCTCACCATTGAACAATTCTTGAAGAGTTTCCATTATTGTGCCATAGTCATGAAAGTTAGGACTGAATAAGTGCCAAAATCAAACATATTGACTATATCTTTCCCCAAACCAAAGATACCCTTCCTCCAAAACTAAATATTATCATTTGTATAGCTTCATTGCTCCCACTATTCCAAGTGATAGAGATTATTGCACAAAAATCTGGTGATTTGTATAAGTTGTGTTTTAGAAGTATAGTGGAATCAAGGTTTTGGACCAATTCCTTATTTTATCAAATGGAAGTTTATAATTATAAATAATGTTCATAATTTATAAACACAAGATTAACATTATTGCATATCAATCATTAGATGGTAAAATAAACTAGAATATATTAGGGAGTGTTTAAGAAAGTTTATAAGTTATAAACATATTCATAAATTATAAATACAAGACTAATATAAATGAATGACAACTGATCCTAGAATATCTACATATTTTAATTGCTTAAGAAAACTAAAAATGGTAAAAAAATTATTAAAATTTGTATTAGCACAGCTTAATTGGTTTCCAGTCCAATCTTGCATTTATATTTTTCGTTGGGAATTTAATTTATAATTTATTTCTAGATATTGTTTCCTTAAACATTAGTATGGATCCTAATCAAAAGTTAGAGTTCAACAAGAAACATTGAAGATAATTGTTACTCATGTACACTAATGCATTTCTTTATATGTCTAATATGATTATAGAATAAGATGAACTTCCCATCATACTTGACTATAAAGATTATTATGCAGCATATGTGACTGATTAGAAATACCCTTGAATGACATTAGAGACAAGCTGGGTCTTTCATATTGATTAATTGGTTGCAATGCAATTAAGTGTTGCAGCATTCTAGGTGATGCTGGGGATGAAGTCCTAAAAATTTTGAGTATATGACTGTTTTTTAATCTATTTTCTCAAGCATTGCATGAATGTGTTTTCATTTGGCAATCTTGATTCACTCTTTGTACAAAGATTCCCAGTGTTCTTGCCATCCACAATCTCACACATTAGGTGGATCCAAAACCTTCTCTCTCTCTTTTTTAGCTAATTTACTAGTGAAGCTATGAACCACTTGAAAGGTCCTACAGCTCAAATGCAAACTAAATGTCTTATGAGAATATTCCTTTTGATACATGTCATCTTATGCTAAGTTTACAATGACTATATGCAAGCTATGAGTTTCGATCTATCTATTGTAAGCAGCATGAGCGAGATGAGTGGCAAGCTACAAACAGTGTGGGCATAGTATGAATAGTGAGTTGAAAGTTGTAAGCAACGTAAGTGGTAAGCTATACATGGCTTGAATAGCTGGAGTATGGTGATTAGGCTTAAAAGAGAAAAGGAAAAGCTGTCGGTTTTCAACTTTTCTACGATCTCTACTTCAGGTGCTGAGAGAAGTTTCTCAAATGGTTGTGATGCTGCTTGAAGCCTGACAATGCCAACGACGATTTTGTCCAGGACAGTACCAATCGGATTACCAAGCGACAGTAACCAGGTGCCGGAACGGGTCTGCAACTTAGTGAAAGCATACGTCAAACCAGACAAAGGCTCCAGCATAAAAGTTCTTGAGCTCCAGCGCATGGTAGGCAAGAACTTCTGCAGCCTCCGGATATGCGGATATGAAGATCTGGAAGCCCCTGTCCGGGACGTAGCCTTGGACGGTGTCACTTCTCACTCGATCTCCAACTCCATCGGACGCTTCAAGCAGCTAGAATGTGACGCCTTCTTTGTGCAAGCGTCGTGCTCCCGGGAGACTAGCATGGCCTGCTCCAACACAACGTCAACCTCTGGAGGAGAAACGTTATCAGCAGATTGAGATGCTCCATTCTCAGTTTTGGTCGACCGTCTGGACTGAACTCGGGGATGGCTTAAGACGAGAGCAAAGTGCTACTTGGTTGTGGTGGTGTTTTTGCTGTACGTGGAAGCGGCAATTCGGATAGAGTAGGGATTCCCATCGACAAGGTGGCAAGGTTACCATGGCCACAGGTAATGTGGTCGCCATATAGCCACTTCGTTTTGTTTTAAGAGGTTCCTTGGATTGCAGGACGAGATCCAACGGGGATGTTTTGAGTTGTGACCACCGCGCGTGCAGGAGCAAGGTGAGTGGAAGTTTTAGTGCCATCTGCACATTACTTTCGTTTTTCTGGCAGTTCAAGATCGCCGTTTGTCATCTTTCGATTTACGCAGACAAGGAACAGAACATCAGGCATGCTCGTGAAGCTATCCAGACGGCTGCTGATGGCGGCAGCAAGCTGATCCTTCTTCCAGTTAAGTTTTGTAGTTCTCTGTTCAGTCATAAGGAGAATGTCTTACAGGAAATGGGGAATTGTCCATACTCAAACGCGAGCTTTCCAATCTATGCAGGCGGTTCTCCCTCTTCCAAAATGCTTTCAGACATGAGGTTACCATAATCGGTGGCTCATACCATAGCGGAATGACGTGGCGATCATCTCTACAATACTTGCTGCATCTACGGAAAAGGTGGCTCTCTAAAAGGTAAACATCGGAAGGTTTGCTTTTCTGACGCGTCGTCTACGGTTTTTTCTCAGCCCTCTTTCACACCAGGTTCAACTTTTTTTGACATCGATATACCATACAGTTCAAAGAATCGGACACACTGGGGCCTGGCCATAAGTATACTGTTGTTGATTCGGGTAAGGTCCTACAGGCATTACGACAAGCAAAATAACTCACATTGCTCACTGACGAAGATGTTTGTTCTTTGTGCTGGTGTCAAGGTTTGCTCTTGCAAGAAGCTTTAATTTCTTTGACATGTTAGAAGTGAGAATGTGTGTGCTCCAGGGATTACAAGGCTGCCTGGAAGGCAGTAAAGCGGCTAATTCGTGGTGGACGCTCTTAAAATATTTTGTCGTTGCTGCTGGGCTCGTATCCGGGGCATTTGATTTGCGTACCGTCATCGACATGCTCAAGAGGACGCCGAAACTGAGCGACCGCACCAGGTTTACCCTCATTGTGGATCCTGCAGTCAAGGATATTGTCCTTCCAAGTAAGTGCGCTTCCTCTTCCTCTTTAGGTCGCTTCTGTTGCTGTTCTAGGCGTCCAGTCGGAGCCAAGGTACAGGCCTTTGATTGGAGACATGGTTGTGATCCCGCTGGTCCCTTGTGAATGCTCTGATCGCGCTGGTGGTGCTTTGAGGGCGATTGATCCGGCAGGAGCCACTGCGGCACAACAGAGCGTGTAAAACACAGGATGCATGCGTACGATTTTGTAGAGAAGCATGGCTATCCAGATTCAAATTAATGTTTTGAAATAAATTCAGGTTAGGGCTTCCGTCTTTCACAAGATCGTGACCGTCGATCAAACGGGGTTCCAGCCGTCGATTTGTACCCGTTAGCGAGAAGCTAGGTCAAAAAATTGGCGAGCAATGGTGGCGTGCGAGTTTGGGGAGGACGACTGTGGTGAGCTGCTCAAGCTGTACAGGCGGGGTGAGAAGCTGGGATCTGGTGGTGAAGGGCAGGTCTATTTGTTGAGTGCTCGTCGCAGGGCTGGCAAGAAGTATGCAGGGAAATCAGTTAAATCGATGAGGAATGGCGAGAATGAAGCTCGGCTCATGTCTAAGCTTCGCATCTGCCCTGGAGTTGTTGCCTTTGAGGATTTTGTGAGGGAGAGAGAAGGTGGGAGGTGCTATGGGACCATCGTGATGGAGCTTTGCGGCCCTAGCTTGGCAGAGCGATTGATCCAGGGTGGGGCACTGACTGAAGAAGAAGCAGCCAAGACTATTAAAAGGCTAGCAGAAACACTCAAGTGGATGCACTCGAGAGGGGTTGTCCACCGTGATCTCAAGCCTGAGAACATCTTTGAGAGGCTCAACGCCAGTGCAGTGGATGAAGTGGTGATTGGAGATTTTGGCATGGCCACGGACAAGCAGTGGGATATGCAACAGTATTGTGGAACAGCAAAGTACATGGCACCTGAGGTGGTAGCGGTGAAGAGTGATGGAGCCCGAGGACTACGAGCGAGTTACACGGCAGCCGTGGACGTGTGGGGACTGGGAGTCATTGCGTACGAGCTGCTGAGTGGGTATCGATCAAGAGTTGAATTTGATTTTCTGAGAGCTGGAGCATTCCCGAGTGATTTGGCATCGTGTGAAGCAGAGGATCTCATCCAGGGAATGCTAGATGTGGAGCAGAGCAAGAGGGTGACTCTAGATGCCGTGCTTACACATCCCTGGATTGTCAAGCATTGTGGTAGTGGGGAGATCTTAACAGCGATGCCACATAGAAGGAGGCATTGTGGAGTAAAGAGAAAGTTTTCTGGCACCGGTGAAAATTTGATCGTGAAAAAGATTCTCGCAGGATAATTATGAAACTGAGCAATCAAATGGAGACATATGTGACCAGCATACAAATAATAGAAGAAGAGAAAAAGAAGCAGAAGCATTGGTAAAGTTCTGTTGAACTTCCAGAAAAATGTTTATTGTGGTGGAAGACATTTTGAGAGACAGCCTTCCACCATAAAATTCAGTATATAAAGAAAGAAAAATTCAAAACCAAAGATGAACTCTCGCGGCAGATTTTGACGAAGGCACTGCAATCCACACCCGAGCTTTCGAGCTAGGAATCGCCACTCCAGCAGTCGCGAGCTTACACGCCAAGTGTGGGAGCCTGGATGCTGTTCGAGAAGAACCGCGAGAGGGATCTGGAACGCGATGGTTGGAGGGGATCTCCCCGAATGGAGTGGTGCTCGCGTCGAGCTCCCAGGGCGGGCTGCTCGAGCGGGGGATGTTCTACGCGGGGTGGCTGTACCGGTTTGTGGTGGAGCTGCTCGGGCGGTGTGGGGAGGCGTTGCTCCGCAGTATGCCGCTGGAACCCGACGAGGAGGTGATCCGCGCGGACCGGGTTGGATCCCGGCGATGCTGCGCCTTACGTGCTCATCGCCAAATGTATATACTCAGCGCGGGAATTTTTGTGGTCGGGGTTAGGGTTCTAGGCTGTGGAGATCGAGGCCCTTGGATCGCTTTTCCAGGGCCCGTGGGAGAAGAGGTAGTGGAGCAGCTCTCGGGTGAGGGATTTCTCTGGAATGTAGCTGCTGTTTGTTGATTTTGGGAAGAATGTACCCTTTTCCCGTGGGATGCAGAGATCTGGCGAGGAAGGGAGGCATACGCGATGGCAATCCGAGAGGATAAGCTCGGGCCTTTGTTTGCGGTGAGTTTTTTTTTCTTTTCGGTTTTTCTTGCGCGTTTCTTGATGGAAACTTTCAAGGTACGCTGCGGGGAAGCGATGATGAAAATCCAGCATCCAGGAACTCGTTCAATGGCGAGGAGGTAATTGTTCTTTTCTTGTCTTTGTCTCCATGGCAAAAAAAAAGTTCTATCTGGGCAGATGGTTGGCGTTGCGGTGCAGTATCTCCTACGTGAACTAGTTTCTGCTTCATCGAAAAAAGACGAGACAGAAGTCAATGTCCAAAGTTCGTCCAGCGCTCGTTCTCCAGAGTTGTTTCGATCTTCAGTGATTTGGGAAGGAAATAGGAAGCGAGTGTTATCTCCGCGGCCAGGAGACGAGGGTGTGAGGTCGTCTCAATGACTGAAAACAGACAAGAACTCGCAAGAGCGTCACGGTGCAGAAGATTCTTGTAAGTTTTTAATTCGATTTTGCTTCTTTTGATAAACTTTTATGGACTGAGTAGGTCCAGAAAATGTTTATGTCTCGGATTTGGAACCCGAGCTGGAACCGAACATTTTGCCCGATACTCTGGAGGAACTTCACATGAGAGAAGAACCCGAGCTGGAGTCTAAGATTGTGCCTGATACTCTGGAGGTACTTCACGTGAGAGAAGAAGAACATAATTCTCCAAATCTAGAGCGTAATTACAAATAGCTTCCTCATGAAATGCAGTGAGAATCTCATTTTTTCTTTTACCAGTGACAATTGGCGGCAGTCAGCAGTCATTGCTGGGATCCAACTCAGAAGAAAATCAAAACAACTCGGACTTGTTTGCCAGCATGATATCTCTGCTACTTCCAAATGCCGTCCCTCTCATGAAGAAACGTTCAAGAAGAAAACAGAGACAAGATCTCTCCAAAAGAGATGTGGCGGAAAGTCCTATAGACTTTGGGATGGGTAACACGGCATTGGAGACTTCCATAGCCAAAGACCCGATCGAGCAAGGTGACACGACGGCCATGACAACAAATATCTTTGACAACCAACAGAAAGCACCTACTGGCCTTAGACATCACGTCGACAAGCAGCTTACCAGCGCAGTTGAGCGTCAAGCTGGAGAGGAGTCCATTGCTGAAGAGCCTATCAACCAAGTTGACAACGCCGAAACATCTCAGCAAACAAAGAATATCGACACACACAATGTGTTGGCGGAAACTTAATCGAGTCCTCCTCACGCACAGTCATCGTCAATAAGCTCGCGCTTGAACAAGTCACGACGCAGCCCAGCCAGCTCTTTGAGGCTGTACAAAAGGATTCGACGATCACAGCAGCCATTGCTTTGGACGACCATTGTGCTGATTCGGAGAACAAGCGGTACACTATCTCGGATACTGTTAAAAGGCTACCAGCGGAGCCTTCTGCTGACGAAAAGTTCCAGGATGGACATGTCAAGTCACTTGATGCAGCGTGCGTGACGGACAGTCGGATAAGGAACACTTCGGCCGAACAAGCTCCCAACAATGCTCTATACCCGAAGTCAATACCTTTCACAGAGGCGCTGGTTCCATCGACGTACAAGCTGACTAGCCCGAATGAGCTTGAACAAGTCACGGTGCAGCCCAGCCAGCTCTTGGTAAAGCAACTTGAGACTGTCGAAAAGAATTTGACGATCGCCGCAGGCAATGCTTTGGATGATCACTCCATGATTTGGACAACAAGCGATTCCACTGGTTCGGATACACTTGAAAGGCTACCAGCGGAGCCTTCAGCTGAAGAAACGTGCCAGATTCTGGGAGATGTGGAGCTACTTGATCTAGAAAATCCAGCGTACGTGGCAGACAGTCGAAGAGAAAACACTTCGACCGAACAAGAAAAGCATGCTTCCAACAATGCTTCAGGCCACAAGTCTGGTTCCATCAACGAACAAGAAGTACCTACTACGGATACGTGGACCAAAGTGCCGGAAGCTGATGAAAAGGATACCGTAGCCAACGATTTGGACATGCAGTCGAGAGTATTTACCGGCTTTAGTTCCATCAGCAAGCGGCTTACTAGCTCGGACATGCTAAGACCCGTCGCTGCTTTTGAGCACGACCTTTCAGTTCTTTGCGTGGCACTCAACGCAAGGAGTCAGGAGGTGGATATCTGCGTCTCTTGTGGTCCTCTGGAGAAGCACGGTGTACAACTATATGTATACCGTATTTCCCTTGACAACAACTTGCTATCGGAGGCAACGTTGCTACAGTCCTTTTCACTGGATTCTTACGAAAATTCTGGAACAGACTCTCTGAAGGTTTGTTCAGTGTTTCTTTCTATTTGGCTTACATTATTTTCGCAGCAGCAAGCGGAGTTTGGAATTCAACTCACTGCAGACGGCGACAGCCTTCAACTTTTGCTGTTCATAGCCCCGAGCTTCCCAGTCAGTCGAACATAGTGCAGGTGGTTTCTCTCGCTGAACGTGATCCGAAGGCTGAGCTTTTTGCGACTGCCGCAATGAGATGCCTTTTGATAACAGGAGGAGAAAGCCACCAGAATTGTAATGAAACAACCAGAAAAAATAAAAAGGTAAAAAAGAAATGTAGTAAGAAAAGGTTTAAGATTATAATATCATGACAGATAATTTTCTAAGAATGTTCTCAAACACAAAATACATAGACATATAGAAGTTATTCTTCTAACGAGATAAACTATTCTAGTAAAACTTAAAAAATATTCTTCAAATATTTTATTACTATTGAACATAATTCTTTTTATAACTATATGAAGACATCGTTAAAAGGATGGATTTTCTATCCGCTCGGTTTCAAGTTGAGCGAAGCGCTGCAACACGGCCACGAAAGACATGAGAAAAGGAAGCTCTTTTAGTTGGGAGTGAAAGTCACCTGTTGATGCAATAGCGTTTTCCAGTGGGAGGAGGGCCGTCGTCAAAGACGTGCCCCAAGTGAGCATCACACTTGGAACACTTGACTTCGGTGCGAGGCATGAACGGGATGGACCAGTCGCTCTCGCTCTTGACATTGTTTCCAATCACCTCGTAGTACGAGGGCCACCCCGTGCCACTGTCGAATTTGGTGATGGAGCTGGAAGAAAAAAGCTCGAGAAAGCTCGGCTATGGATCTAAAGTTGAAAAGAAACCACTGACAGCCAAGAACAAAGCAAGCCACCAGAAGAGCAGAAAGGGAAACAAATCCAAGCAAGGAAACTTACTTGAAGAGTGGTGTTCCGCAGCAAATGCACTCGTAGATCCCAGCAGTCTTGGTGTTCCAGTACTTCCTGTTCGATCGGATGGATGATCGCTTAGATAGATCTCGTTCTCGCCAGAGTTTCTATGTTCTATGTTCTAAAAATGCTTTCTTACCCGCTGAAAGCTCTTTCGGTCCCCTTTTGCCTCGTGACGTAGAACTGCTCGTCCGTGAGCTTTTCCTTCCACTCCGTGTCGCTCACGGATTTAAATTCCGCTCCCTCTGGAGAAAGAGATTTCTCACGACTTCTCGCATGGAGAAGTGATCAAAGATTTCTACCTGCGCTGACCGAAGGCCCGCCGGATGAATCCCTCGACGACTGCGACGCGCCCATGATTCGCCGCCGATTCCAGCCGCTGGCCACAAATGCGGGCCTCTGCGCCGCGATTCCAGCTGAATTCCAGCGATCGAACGCCCCAATCGACCCAACAATGCGAGAGCTCGCCACGCTTCGCATTTTAGGGCTAGCTAGAGCTCGATATTTCTCCTTCTCCTTCCTCGCGCCACCGCCACGATAGAAGGACTTTACACACACAGTAGATTTTAATCTCCATAAAAAGGTCTTTTTAGGGTTCTTTGGAGCCGTGGCAAGACGATGCTCCGGCTAGCGAGGGCCGCCCTCCGCGAGCAGCGCCAGCGGAGGCTCTACTCCAGCGCTTCGCGAGTCCTCAGCAATGCGGCGCCATCGGTGAGTGTCGAATGCGATCGATTGAGCTGGAAATTTCGATCGATCTCGCAATATTTTGGTTGATCAGACTACTGGCGCCGCGTACCCCATCGTGGATCACACATACGATGCCGTCGTCGTCGGCGCCGGCGGGGCTGGGTTGCGAGCGGCCATCGGTCTCTCGGAGCATGGATTCAACACGGCTTGCATCACAAAGCTCTTTCCTACTAGATCTCACACTGTGGCAGCACAAGTAGATTTTTTCCCCTTAGTTTTTGCCTTCACTCTTTTCGTTGATTTCTTTAAGGGAGGAATCAATGCAGCGTTGGGAAATATGACCGAGGATGATTGGAGATGGCATATGTATGATACTGTCAAAGGAAGTGACTGGCTTGGTATGGTTACAATGTCTTTTGTCCGCTTCTACTGAAAATTTTCTCTCTTACGTTTAGGTGATCAGGATGCTATTCAGTATATGTGTCGAGAAGCTCCTGCTGCCGTCATTGAGCTCGAGAATTATGGTTTGCCTTTCTCAAGAACAGAAGAAGGTAAAATCTACCAAAGAGCTTTTGGTGGACAGAGCCTGAATTTCGGCAAAGGTACGATCCATTCTTCCTCTCTGTCTTCGTTGGTAGCTAAGTCTGCCTTCCAGGGGGTCAGGCATATCGTTGTGCGTGTGCTGCCGATCGAACGGGTCATGCACTACTGCACACTCTCTACGGCCAAGCCATGAAACACAACACACAGTTTTTTGTCGAGTATTTTGCTTTAGATCTCATAATGGACGACGAGGGTAAGGACATATATCCATTTCGTCAAACTTAACGGCTGATCCTGAATTATTTTGCCAGGTGCATGTCGAGGTGTTATGGCACTTAACATGGAGGATGGAACTTTGCATCGTTTCCGTGCGCTTTCGACGATTCTAGCGACCGGGGTACGTTGTTCTCAGGAATCAAGACCATCCTTATTGAGGTGTACGCAGGGTTATGGAAGGGCTTACTTTTCAGCAACCTCAGCTCATACGTGTACTGGGGACGGGAATGCTATGGTGGCTCGTGCTGGTCTTCCTCTGGAGGTTCTTGGCTTATCCTGTTTTTCATCGCACTTGTTTTAAAAACTTTACAGGACTTGGAGTTCGTGCAATTTCATCCGACTGGTATATATGGTGCTGGTTGTCTTATAACGGAAGGTTTGTTATCTCATTTATTTGTACCCTCAAGTCACTATGCTATTGGTGTCAGGGTCGCGTGGTGAAGGTGGCATTTTGCGAAACAGCGAAGGAGAACGTTTTATGGAAAGATATGCTCCCACTGCGAAAGACTTAGCTTCGAGAGATGTCGTGTCTAGATCCATGACAATGGAGATTCGCGAAGGCCGTGGAGTAGGTCTGTAGAGCTGTTTTTTCTTGTTTGGTTTGGCAACTGATGTTTTTCCTTGTTCCTAGGGCCTTTGAAGGATCACATATATCTTCACTTAAATCATTTACCTCCGGAAGTGCTGAAAGAAAGGCTCCCAGGAATATCAGAAACAGCAGCAATCTTTGCTGGTGTTGATGTTACTAAGGAACCGATCCCCGTGCTACCGACAGTCCACTACAACATGGGAGGGATACCAACTAACTACCGTGGAGAGGTGTGGCTTTGATGTTGGAATGTTCTATTATCTTCTCTCACCATCGGTATACAGGGTGTTACGACGAAAGATGGAGATCCCGACTGTCTCATTCCGGGGTTGATGGCTGCTGGAGAAGCAGCGTGCGCTTCCGTTCACGGTGCCAATCGTTTGGGAGCAAATTCACTCTTGGACATTGTGGTTTTTGGTCGTGCGTGTGCCAACACGATGGCTGAGATTTACAAACCTGGTGAGACATCTTACAAATACCATTGAGGATTACTATTCTCTTGTTTATCAGGGGACAAGCAAAAGCCATTGCCAAAGAACGCCGGAGAGGGAACCATTGCCTGGCTGAACAAGCTGAGATATGCAAATGGAGATATACCCACCGCCAGCATCAGGCTTTCGATGCAAAGAGTCATGCAAAACAACGCTGCCGTCTTCCGTACACAGGAAACTCTCGAAGAAGGTAAGCATATCTTCTTAAATTTCCCTTGTATTGATCGAGCACACAGGATGCAAGCTTATCAACGAAATATGGGATAGCTTCTCTCGAGTTAAGACATCGGACAGGAGCTTGATATGGTACATTAATTCCTACCAAGCTTTCCTCCTTACCTTGTTCGGTTTGCGCAGGAACTCTGACCTCATCGAGACGATCGAGCTAGAAAACTTGCTCATCAACGCAGTGATCACAATGCAATCCGCGGAAGCTAGAAAAGAGAGCCGTGGAGCGCACGCCCGTGAAGATTTTGCGGTAAGTATCTCACTACGCTGCCAAGCTCTTGCTCGTAACTTTTAACTTTCGCGATTCCAGAAACGAGACGATGAAAACTGGATGAAGCACACACTGGGGTGAGAATCACTATTGCGTTTTCACGATTGTCCAATCGGCTAAACTTCCGGATTGTTCTCGCAGGTTCTGGGAGGATGGGAAAGTGAGGCTTGATTATCGTCCAGTCCATATGAACACTCTAGACAAAGAAGTGGAGCCATTCCCTCCAAAGGCACGAGTCTACTAACACGACAAAGTAAATGAATAAGAGGAACCTTCTTTTGTAAAATTAAAGAGGATCGAAATAAAAGAGCCTACCTAGTGCCAAAGAACTTTTAGGGCTTTTCTATGTTTTAGGGTTCTTCTCTTCTCTTCACGCCATGGCGCCAGCGGCAGACGTCGACGATGACATCCTCAAGGAAAAGAATCCCCCGCCGCTCGACGAGGACGACATCGCGCTACTCAAGACTTATGTAAGATTCGTGGCTTTTTTCGTTTCTAGCTCGTTCTTGTGTGTGATTTGCGCTGCGTTTCTAGGGTCTTGGCCCATACGCTACCTCCACGAAAAAGGTCGAGAAGGAGATCAAGGAACTCGCGAAAAAAGTGAACGATCTATGCGGTGCGTTGCGATTTTGCTGGGCTTTTTTGAGCGTGCTTTTCCAGGGATCAAGGAGTCCGACACTGGTCTAGCAGCTCCTAGCCAGTGGGATCTGGTGTCTGATAAGCAAATGATGCAAGAAGAGCAGCCACTGCAAGTAAGTGAGATTTTTTTCTTCGATCTCTTGCTTTTCTTTTTTCTCTCATGTTTGGTTTTGGTAGGTTGCTCGTTGCACCAAGATCATCAATCCAGGCGCGGACGATTCAAAGTACGTGATCAACGTGAAACAAATAGCAAAAGTATATAACTTTTTCGATTCAAGACTAGGATTCTCACAATCTCTTTGGTGATAGTTTGTCGTGGGTCTTGGAGATAAGGTGTCTCCCACAGATATTGAGGAGGGAATGCGCGTCGGGTATGGTTTTTTTCTTATGTTCTCGATGTAAATGACATTTCTGTGTGTTCTATTACAGTGTTGATAGGAACAAATATCAGATCCAAATACCTTTGCCCCCTAAGATTGATCCGAGCGTCACTATGATGACGGTGGAGGAGAAGCCCGATGTAACTTACAATGACATCGGCGGTTGCAAGGAGCAAATCGAGAAAATGCGGGAGGTAACTACACCATTTTACATTTGGTTTCCTCGTCGACGATCTTAACTTTTACGCATATAGGTTGTAGAGCTTCCTATGCTCCATCCTGAGAAGTTTATCAAGCTTGGAATCGATCCTCCCAAAGGAGTTCTTTGCTACGGCCCTCCGGGAACTGGGAAAACGCTACTCGCTCGTGCAGTGGCCAATCGTACAGATGCCTGCTTCATTCGAGTTATTGGCAGCGAGCTCGTCCAGAAGTACGTTGGTGAAGGAGCTCGAATGGTGCGCGAGTTATTCCAGGTATGTTACATTCCGTGTTTATTCCTGGCAGTGGTCTTAAAATTTTTTATTTTTTTTTCCTTTCTCTTTTTCTTTCAGATGGCCCGATCAAAGAAAGCTTGCATTGTTTTCTTTGACGAAGTCGATGCCATTGGTGGTGCCAGATTCGACGACGGCATTGGTGGCGACAACGAAGTGCAAAGGACGATGCTCGAGATTGTCAATCAGCTTGATGGTTTTGATGCTCGTGGGAACATTAAAGTTTTGATGGCCACGAACAGGTACTGCCGACTTCATCTAAGTCTTTTCCAATCAAACTTACATTACTCCAAACAGGCCTGACACTCTGGACCCGGCACTCCTCCGTCCCGGACGCCTCGATCGTAAGGTGGAGTTCGGACTCCCAGACCTCGACAGCAGAACTCAGATCTTCAAGATCCACACCAGAACCATGAACTGCGAGCGCGACATCCGATTCGAGTTGCTAGCGCGCTTATGCCCAAACTCGACCGGTAAGTTCTCGTGCTTATACGGTAGATGGTTTTCTCTCCTCTCTCGGTAACCAAGCTTTGGTTTGCTTGAATCTTTAGGCGCTGATATCAGGAGCGTTTGCACTGAAGCCGGCATGTACGCGATCCGAGCTCGCAGGAAAACAGTGACGGAGAAAGATTTCCTCGAGGCCGTGAACAAAGTGATCAAAGGCTACCAAAAGTTTAGCGCTACTCCAAAATACATGGTGTACAACTAGAACGCATCCTGGCCGTTGAAATGTTTGAAAGAGCGCGCGGCGCCATTTATCTGCTTATCATATGCGTGTGGTTGGCTCGGGCACCTTATCTTGTGTGCTGACGTGGAGATCTCTCGTTGGCCGGGGACAGGCTTCCATAGCTCTAGGTCTTGCGAGACAATCCCTAATTCCTGGAGGAGCCAAGCAGCCACAATCCATGGCAGCAGCGATGATGAGCTTGAGCTCCTTGAATGTGGCAGCATTGCCGCAATGCGATGGATTGGCGCGGCAGGGGCTGGCATTGGCCCCGGCGAGGAGCTCGGGGAGGAAGATCGTTGCATCGTCGCGGAGCCGTGTTGTGATGAGGTAAGGGAGGGATTCTATATCGATTCTAGACCGAAATTCGTGTTCCTCTTGTTCGAATTTGGTCTTTCAGCGCCAAGAAGAGCGATAGGGAAGAGCAAGGAAGCATTCCCGTGGCTCAGCTAACGGCACTGGCGCTGGCGGCGAGCGCGGTGATTCCAGAGTTTGCCGAGGCCGCGATCACGCCATCGCTCAAGAATTTGCTGCTGAGCGTGGCGGCAGGATTCGGAGTTCTCGGCGCGCTCGTCGTGGCGGTGCTGGGCGTGGCTACATTCGATCCAGTGAAGAGAAGCTAAAAATCTTTCGTGTAAAAAACAGGGGATCCCTAGCCCTAATCCCTCTGCCACGTGGTATGACGCGTGGCAGAAATATACCAGCGCATAATCACGGAATTCGAAACCTAATGAATGAAGCTGGGCTTCTCGCAGGGGACAATGATCTGCGCATAGTTTGACAATAACATCACTTATATTCTCGGTCAGGACAAAACTATAATAGCAACGTCACTCAAACAATGTGGTCCACATTGTTTTTGGAATGCTTTCTCATGGTTTATACAAACCATATCAGCTTTCATCCCGTCCAACGCTGGGAAGATTAAATTTCTCTTATCGCCACCTTTGGTTGTGTGTAGGGCAGGCGTTTTGTATAGTTTTCGTGGAGATTGAGGGCCTTGTGTCTAGAGCCCGGCACTGGCCAGCCCGCCCCGGTTTCGATTCCAGCCAGCCAAATGCTCCGTGCAAAAGCCCCCCTTAAAAGGAATTAAAAAAGGAGAAGGGTATTTTGGCGCTCACGCTCGCGCACTCTCTCTGGAACGTCATGTCATCTCATGCCCCTGACACCATGGAATGTCTAGCCACCTATGACATGTACGGGGAAAACGCTCACGTGGCGCTAGGGCAGATGTCAGCCGGCCGTTAACCCCGGGGGCTAAACCTAAACTGGTGTTTAATTCCTGCGACGCTTCTTGGAATTAACGGGCCGCGGTTACACTCGCCCGGCGCTAACAAACGCCTGGTTTTTCCGAGGCAAGGCAGAAATGATCGCCGGTAGTAGTAGTAGCATCTATCACACCATTAAATTCTCGCACCACATCGCATTTTCCTATTCTTTCCCCCACATCTTCTATCAATCAAAATCCCAAACTCTCGATCGAGACACCGACCTTGTTTGCGAGGTTTCACACGAACCCTAGAAATCTCTGGTCGAATCTCTAGGCATCATTTGTTGAGTGACGAGGAAGAATATTCGATTAAGATATTGACTTCCGTACGACTCGAGCGTACAGTCGGTTTGCTTGACAGCTCCGTTAAGTACGGCGTGCTCTTCGGTTTTGGTCAGGTCAGCGAGTGAGACGACACGCCCAGGGTCATTCCAAGGGTTTCTATAGGGTTTTTGGATTCTTGCCTGCCGCGAGCTCACGGCGCTCTCGTGCTCGTGTCATCGATCGCGCCAGGGCCCGATCGATCGAGATGCGCTCGCGCATTCTCTCTTCTTTCTCCCTTTCCCGATCTTGAGAGAGCGAGCTTGGGAATGGCGATCGAGCGTGAGGAATGGCACCTTCTTGATCTTTCTCTTCTTCCTCCATCCGGCGAGAGGTAGAATCTTTTTGCTGTCCAGCGCCCGGATTTCGATGGATTGGAGCGTCGCGCTGTCGATCTTGTTGCTGCTTGCCGCATCGTCGAGCGTCGCGCGCGGATTCCAGGATAAATCCGCGCTCCTGGCGCTCAAGGCGGCGATGATCGACAGTTCCGGCAGCCTCGACGACTGGACCGAGACCGACGACACGCCGTGCTTGTGGACGGGCATCACCTGCGACGATCGCCTCTCCCGCGTCGTGGCGCTCGACCTCTCCAACAAGAATCTCTCTGGCATCTTCTCTTCCTCCATCGGCCGCCTCACCGAGCTCATCAATCTCACGCTAGATGTCAATAACTTCACAGGGAATCTCCCGAGTGAGCTCGCCACGCTGCACGACCTCCACTTCCTCAACGTCTCCCACAACACCTTCACGGGGGATTTCCCGGGGCGCTTCTCCAATCTCCAGCTCCTCGAGGTACTGGATGCTTACAACAACAATTTCTCCGGGCCTCTGCCAATCGAACTCTCGCGGCTGCCCAATCTCCGCCACCTTCACCTGGGCGGGAGCTACTTCGAGGGAGAGATCCCTCCCAGCTATGGCAACATGACGAGCTTGAGCTACCTGGCGCTGTGCGGCAACTGCCTTGTTGGCCCGATCCCTCCCGAGCTCGGCTACCTCGTCGGCCTCGAGGAGCTCTACCTCGGCTACTTCAATCACTTCACCGGAGGAATCCCTCCCGAGCTGGGCCGGCTTCTCAATCTCCAGAAGCTCGACATTGCTAGCTGCGGCCTCGAGGGCGTGATCCCGGCGGAGCTCGGGAATCTCTCCAACTTGGACTCGCTCTTCCTCCAGATAAACCATCTCAGCGGTCCGATCCCTCCCCAGCTCGGGGATCTCGTCAACTTGAAGTCGCTGGATCTCTCCAACAACAATCTCACTGGAGCGATACCGATCGAGCTGCGCAAGCTCCAGAATTTGGAGCTGCTGAGCTTGTTCCTCAATGGGCTGTCGGGGGAGATCCCGGCCTTCGTCGCCGATCTTCCCAACTTGCAAGCTCTGCTGCTATGGACGAACAACTTCACCGGTGAGCTCCCTCAGCGCCTCGGCGAGAACATGAACCTCACGGAGCTGGACGTCTCGTCGAATCCTCTGACGGGGCCGCTGCCTCCAAATCTTTGCAAAGGTGGGCAGCTCGAGGTGCTGGTGCTGATCGAGAATGGGATCACTGGAACCATCCCGCCGGCGCTGGGCCACTGCAAGAGCTTGATCAAGGTAAGACTAGCAGGGAACCATCTCACTGGGCCGATCCCGGAGGGGCTGCTGGGACTAAAGATGCTAGAGATGCTGGAGCTCCTGGATAACCGGCTCACGGGCATGATCCCCGCGATCGTGGACGCGCCGCTGCTCGACTTCCTCGATCTCTCCCAGAACGAACTCCAGGGATCCATTCCTGCCGGGGTGGCACGGCTTCCCAGTCTCCAGAAGCTCTTCCTCCACAGCAACCAGTTCGTGGGTGGCATCCCGGTGGAGCTTGGGCAGCTCTCGCATCTCCTCCACCTCGATCTCCACAGCAACCGTCTCTCCGGGGCGATTCCAGCCGAGCTCGCGCAATGCAGCAAGCTCAACTATCTCGATGTGAGTGACAATCGCCTCACGGGTCCCATTCCCGCGGAGTTGGGATCGATGGAGGTGTTGGAGCTGCTCAACGTCTCCAGGAATCGTCTCAGCGGAGGCATTCCGCCGCAGATACTCGGGCAGGAGAGCTTGACATCGGCGGACTTCTCATACAACGATTTCTCCGGGACAGTCCCCAGCGATGGTCACTTTGGATCGCTCAACATGAGTTCCTTCGTCGGCAACCCGGGGCTGTGCGCGTCGCTCAAGTGTGGAGGAGGAGATCCTTCCTCGTCTCAGGATGGGGATGGCGTGGCTCTCAGCCACGCCAGAGCCCGGCTGTGGAAGGCAGTGGTGGCGTCCATCTTCTCCGCGGCAATGCTCTTCCTCATCGTCGGGGTGGTGTGCTTCGTCCGTGGCAACGGGGGGGAACAGATCGAGTGCTTGAGCATTTGCCAAAGGCGGGAGTCGACGGGGCGGCGGTGGAAGCTGACGGCGTTCCAGCGGCTGGAATTCGATGCCGTGCACGTCCTCGACTCGCTCATCGAGGACAACATCATTGGTCGGGGCGGGTCGGGGACCGTTTATCGTGCCGAGATGCCGAATGGAGAGGTGGTGGCTGTGAAGAGGCTGTGTAAGGCCACCTCGGATGAGACAGGCAGTGGTTCTCACGATCACGGCTTCTCGGCAGAAATCCAGACGCTTGGGAAGATCCGGCACCGGAACATCGTCAAGCTGCTGGGATGCTGCTCCAACGAGGAGACCAACTTGCTGGTTTACGAGTACATGCCAAACGGGAGCTTGGGGGAGCTCCTTCACAGCAAGAAGAGGAACTTGCTGGACTGGACGACGCGGTACAGCATTGCTGTGCAGTCGGCTTTCGGGCTTTGCTACCTCCACCACGACTGCTCGCCGCTCATCGTCCACCGGGACGTCAAGTCGAACAACATCTTGCTCGACTCCGGGTTTGAGGCTCACGTCGCGGATTTCGGGCTGGCGAAGTTCTTCCAGGCGTCCTCGGCCGGGAAGTGCGAGTCCATGTCGTCGATTGCCGGCTCATATGGCTACATTGCTCCTGGTAAGTGCTTTAGTTTCCTTCGCTTCTTTCTGTTGTTTATGTTCATCGTGTTCTTTGGTTTTGCTTATAGAGTATGCATACACGCTCAAGGTGAGCGAGAAGGCGGACATCTTCTCCTTCGGCGTGGTGCTGCTGGAGCTCATCACCGGCCGCAAGCCGACAGAGCAGGAGTTCCGTGACAGCGGCCTGGGCATTGTCAAGTGGGTTAAGAAGGTGATGGACGAAGCCAAGGATGGCGTGCTGAGCATCGTTGACTCGACGCTGCGGAGCTCGCAGCTGCCAGTGCACGAGGTGACGAGCCTTGTCGGGGTGGCTCTCATCTGCTGCGAGGAGTATCCATCCGACAGGCCAACGATGCGAGACGTTGTCCAGATGCTCGTTGACGTGAGGGGCCTGCCCAAGAGCAGCAAGAGTGGGAGCTTCAAGGACTCATCTATCAAGACTCCAGTGGAATCCCAGCAGCAGTGGGAGGATCAGGATCGTGAGGAGCAGCAGCGGCAGCGCAGGGATCAGGCGCCCTTGATCCCGCTCTAACTTATATATCCATCATCAGGGCCCGGTTTTCTCGTTTCTACTTCAAGCATGGTGGACGAGATCTGACAGAAACTCGACGGCGCCCGTGAAAGCTTGAGACAAAGGTTCTCTTTCCAACTCGTACCAGTTTTGTAGCCATCGAAAGTTACCATCGACAGCTTCACTATCATCATCTTACAGCAAAGCCAGAAGCAGCAGCAGCAGGAGCAGCCGCATCGACAGCAGCAATTCTCTCTGGAGCGGCGCGAGTCACGACGAATCGAATCGAATAACACGGGCGAGTTAGCCGCGAAGAAACAGAGGCGAGCTGTTCGAGCTATGGCGAGACAATCGACGAGCCTTTTGGGGAAGGAAGATTGTTTGCTGTGTACATACACAAAAGCTTTTGCCAGGGAAAGCACCACCTCCTTAAAAACTTGCTCTTCGTCCATCAGTCAGTAAGTACTCTCTTTTCCTTTCTTAGATTTTGTGTTCCAGGAGCTTTGCAGAGATAATCTCTCTTCGCTGCGAAAGTTTTCTCTCGGAACGTAAAGATTTGCTCCTCTGATCGTATGTATGAGCGATTATTTCTTTCCCTGTGTCTTCGCCTTGTTACTTTGTCTGCCCGTCTGGGTCTACGCATTGAATGAATGTAGCATAGCGCGTGATGATATATGATTCCAGCGGGGGTATCTCTGGCGAATCGAGTGGAATCTGCGCTCATCTCAATCAAGACGCGCGAGTTAGTATCTATAGAGTAGCAGCTGAGCAAGTATCTAAGTACTTGCGGGTCGGGAATTTACTACTTGCCACCCTACAAGGAGCGTACGTAGCTCCTCGTTTCTTTCTATGGTTCTTGTGGGACGATGCGAAACGAAGCGATGATCCTACATTCATTGCCCATTCACGCTCCGCACCTCCCAATTCGGTCGTGTAGGTGGACCGGCTTGACCGCGCGTCCAAGAAATAGCTCTCGCTAGGCAGCTACGCTCAAGGTGACGGAAGCAAGACAACGCATGCATGAACAAGCCCTAAATATGGCCCGCCACCTTTCTACCCTCTTATCCGATTTTCACCCAGGAATCTTTTCCCCGCCTCCTTGTGGTTTGAATCTAATCGAGTTATCAAAAAGCAACTACAGCGAAAGGGGAAAGAAGGTGGTGGATCATCATTGCCGTTCAGAGGCATGCTCTGTTGTCATTCCTAAAAAAAATGGGCCTGTACTGAAAAGTGAAGAGGAGGATTTGTTGATGCCTTTCTTGGGCTTCCCAGCTGCTGAAACCACGCGCGAAAGAGAGCCAAAAGTGCTCTTCTTGATAAGAAGGGTTTTAAAGGGGTTTTAGAGAAAGGGTTAAAGAAAGTGGTGTTCTACAACTCTAGCTGTTGTTGCGGTGATTGGATTGGATCCACAGCTTTTGCAGGAATCAGAGAGAGCAGGCTTGCTTGCTTGCTTGCTTGCTGCCCTCCCTGGCCGGTTGATTTGAGATCTCGACTCGAATGCTCTTTTCTTTTAAATCGGAAATTTGTAATGTTTTTTTAGGCTTTTTTGCTGCGATCTTCTTCCCTGCTCTGTGATTTGTCCCAGTTGGGTTGTCAACCTCGCACTAGCGCAGCTGAAAGAGACATAGAGGAGGGCCTACAGGATGATGAGGATGAATATTTTAAAGGCGAAAAGGAGGGAAATGAGAGGAAGAAGGGAAAATGAATGGGTTCCTGAATCCTGATGATCATCGTCGTTCTTGCTTCTTGGAAGACGCGGTCGTTATAATGGTGATGTTTCTTTGTTTTCTCCCTCGTTTTTCAGGTTTTACTCAGTTTTTTTCGAGATAGATAGATAAATAGATATTTTTATAGTCACCGCAGCGCCCAGAGAGAGAGAGAGAGAGAGAGTGCGTGTACCAGAGTCGTGGAGATTTTTGATCCATAGTGGACCAAGTTGGCTTCGTTGATGAGGCTCAAGATCCCCTTTCTTATCTCTTTTTATTTTACAGCTTTTCACGCGATGGAACGTAAGGTTGATCATTGGAGGACGGGGAGGGACGACCCAACTGTTTGGTTCGTTCCACTCTGTTTCTATCTGACAATCCTTGCTTAACACGGCGTCACTCGAAAGACTGTTGAGATCTAGAGGCGACTTGCTGACTGCGTGTACATATCTGCTTTGCCTCAAGCGTCTTAGCTTGTTCAATGAATCTGGTGCTTTGTTAGTCAAGAGAATTAACAGACCAGAATCATGGATGCAAAATATCTGTTCATCGGCACGTACTTTTGACGAGGACCAACATCGTCAAACCCATGATCTGTGGTGGCATTGTGATCCTCCCTCTCACGGACAATAGAGAAGAATAATCAATCACAAACTCGGGAAGCTCTTGCCTTTCAAACCTCCACCAACTTGTATCTTGTATCTCACAGATCGCCGTCCTTGTTTGTTGGAAGACTTGGCGGTCGCGGATGGATCTGCTTTGAGAAGATTTCCTTCTCACTCGGATTCTGCTGCGGCGGCGGCGACTGTTTGCTGGCGATCGCTGGTAGCCAGGTCCGACATGAGAGACACCCTCTCGTTAATCCTGGACAGTTGCTCCCGTAGCTTTATCTCGCGCCGGGAGCTGGCATTTCCCTGGAAAAGATCCAGCCATAAGTTACACGATCTATCCTGCGAGATCCAAACAGTATGTGTACCTGTTCTCGCCATATCTGCTTGCCGAAGCGTGCTCCAACCGTGAGAACAAAGGCTGCCAAGGCCATCTTCTCTTGCTTGTTTGTTAGCTTGTTCAATGCACCTGGAAGAAAAGAGTGTGAGAGGGACTTCAAGGAAGAAAAAAATACGGTAGATGTTACGCTCTACCGACTATATATCCAAAACAAAATCTCACCATATCGAACTGTCCTCTTGAGCATGTCGATGACGGTACGTAAACCAAATGCCCCGGATACGAGCCCAGCAGCAACAACAAAATCTTTGAAGAGCGTCCACCACGAATAGCGGGCTTTTCTGCCTTCCAAGCAGCCTTGCAATCCCTGGAGCACACACATTCGCATGTTTAACATGTCAAAGAAATCAAAGCTTCTTGGAAGAGCAAACCTTGACGTCGTCACGAAGAACACCGATGTTGTGACGCATAATCGCAGCCGAGCACTGCAGCACCCTGAGTTCCCGGTTGTTCATCTCCGCCAAAGTCGATATCAATTCGGTGTTCTGATCTCTGGTATCCGCCAGCATCGCCGCTCCTCTGGTCTCCTCTTCGTTGGTTGTGGATCCTGCCGACGTCACTTCGTGGTCCGACAGCGTTCCATGGTGGTGGTGGAGGTTCCTCTTCACGCTGTGCAGGCACCAGGGCGGCCTTCTGGTGCTGCTAGTGGTGCTGGTTTTGCTGTGATTCTTGGCGTTCTGTTCCTTGTTTGTCGTCTCTGCGCCTCTGCCAGGTGTCTGCGCCACCATCTTTCTCGTTTTCTGCTGCAGCGGTCCTCTGTTAACCCCGCTGTTCCAAATTCGAGGCCTTGAAAATTCCTTTGCCACCTCCTCTTCCTTCAAACTAATGTAAGGATATCCCCGCCTAGCTTTCCTGTCTCCGTGCTTCACCTGTTTCGTGCCGTCCGGAGTCAAGAGCTTGGAGCGCCCGGTAGTGGCTCCTCGAACTGAGCTCTTGCCGTCGTCGTTGGCGGTGGAGCACGACCTCGTCTCGGACGACTCCCCTCCACTGATCTCGCTCAAAAGAACGTCCTCCCTGAATGACTCCCTGCTGTTCAGCTTCCCACGGCCGATACCCGCACTCAGAACGCTGCAAACGCTTCCATCCCCGCCACTACATGTCTGATATCTGCTCTCTTCCACACTCACTTCGGAGTGATAGCTTTTGAGCTTCTCTTCGTAATCGTCAACCAGGAGAAGGTTCTCCGGTACGTGGTCAAGCTTGTCTGTCCCACCTAGTTCGCAGCTGTTATACTCTAAAAAGCTCTCAGCGATTCCAGGCGCCTGCTCCTGTTCTATCCCACTTTGTGGATCAGTCAAATCCTTCATGTGAAGCAAGCACTGAGCGCTTGTCCAAACCGTTGGCGGCTCCTCTTCCGAGTTACTAGAACAACTGCTAACGGTGTGTCCCAGATAATCCCCATTTCTAGCTCCCATTTCCAGCAATTTTTGTTCGGCCGTTCTCCAACCAGCTGGAAGCTCAGGTACAATAGCCGTCTCACTTTTGAGCCCACCACCCAAGCGCTTGAGCTCAGTGCCATCGAACAAAGGACTCCAAATTACTTGAGTTTGCGAAGGCGTGGGTTCTTCCTCCTCAAACTCTTCAGTGGCAAGCGGGCAGAGATATCCGGGGAACAAAACTGGCTGCGGCACTTTCATCTGCTTCGCTGCTCGAGGCTGAAAGTAAATGTTGGGATTCTGAAACATAAGAGAGTGAAAACATAAGAAAGCTTGTTAAATAAGAAACGTACCGCTCTGGCAATGTAGTCGTAGAGAACGTCGTCGTTCTTGAGCGCCCCCATACCGCTGCTTCTTTCCTTCAAACGCGAGCAATAGTCCTTCCACATCCGTCTCACTTCATCCCACCACCTCAAGCAAAGCTCCACGAGTCTAGGACGTGCTCACTCCTGTTGCTGGATAACCTGTTACCCTGCTGCCGCTCGGACACTGATGCTCTCCTCTCATGCTGCGGCGGTAAGAACACTTCCGACAGTTAAACTAACCCCACGTCACCCGGACAAGGGGAGGATATTCTCAGAACAACTACTCGATCTATTTCCCAGAACACTTTCCTTGTTCCTACTGCTGGAACTGCTCATGTTGCCAAGGTCAAGTCGACGAGCTGATACAAGTCACCTCTTCGCTGATGGTCCAGAGGCATGTTCATCCTAACGGGAAAGGAAAAGAGAAAATGGTTGAGAAACCTCCGTTATGCCAGAAACAAGAACAGCACCTGCGTTCCTTGATCTGAGCATAGTCGATGTCTGCATAGAAAATCGCCTCTTCACGTCCTGTTGACGCCAGTATTTCTCCGAACTAAAAAATTCAGACAGATTGAGAAAAGCATTGATAAAACAGCATGATGTTACCGGTCCAATGACACTGGAGTGTCCCCAAGCAACATATCCCGCGCTTGGATTTCTGGCTGGTGAGCAAGTGGCCACAAACAGCTAGAAAAAAAAAAAGAGTAAGAAAGACAAAACATCAAAAATACTTACCTGATTGTCTACGGCTCTGGAAATTGAAAAAACAAAAAAAAAAAAACGTTGCCAGTAAATTCCGCAGCCAACAAGAAAGAAACAATGAGTTACCTGGCTTTCTGGAGGAGTTCCCAATGCGCTGGTCCCGTAGTCATGTTGAAAGCTCCCGGATAGCAGATCATATGTACGCCTGGCACCAACATAAATTTTAATACACTGCAGCTACCTGGCTAGCCTTCTTCGTACCTCGTGCTGCGTAAGTCATTGCCATCTCCGGAAAGCGAATGTCATAGCAAATACCAACACCGATTCGTCCAACATCTACGTCAATGAGCAATGTGAGTTTTTTTTTCTTGTCGTAATGCCTGAAAGACCTTACCCGTATCAACAACAGTATACTTATCTCCAGGCTTCAGTGTGTCCGATTCTTTGAACTGTATCTTTCCTGGTATATCGATGTCAAAAAGGTGAACCTGGTGTGAAAGAGGGCTGAGAAAAACCGTAGACGACGCCTCAGAAAAGCAAACCTTCCGATGTTTTCCTTTTAGAGAGCCATCTTTTCCGTAGATGCAGCAAGTATTGTAGAGATGATTGCCACTTCGTTCCGGTATGGAGCCACCGATGATGGTAACCTCCTTACTCTTTGCCATATCCGAAAGCATTTTGGAAGAGGGAGAATCACCTGCGTCAATATCCTCCGCGTAGATTGGAAAGCTCGCGTTTGAGTATGGGCAATTCCACATTTCCTGTAACACATTCTCCTTATGACTGAACACACAACTACAAAACTTAACTGGAAGAAGGACCAGTTTACTGCCGCCATCAGCAGCCGTCTGGATAGCTTCACGAGCATGCCTGATGTTCTGTTCCTTGTCTGCACAGATCGAGAGCTGGCAAACGGCGAGCTTGAACTGCCACAAAAACCAAAAGTAACGTGACGAGGGCATCCCGATACAATAAAACTTCCACTGACCTTGCTAGTCGGAGGCTCCGGTGGAGCCTGCGAAGGCGGTTTCCTTGCATCTGACTGCATGCTTGCAAAATCTCGAACTCCGGAGCGAGCAGCACAGCGCCTCAAACTTTCACCTGCACGCGCTAGAATGGGAAGTCGCAGGAAAAGGGCGCTGCTCATTCTACTCCCAAAACACCCCCGTTGGATCTCGTCCTGCAATCCAAGCCGTCAATATGAACCTCTTAAAAAAAAACTTTCGAAGTGACTGGAGAGTATGGCGATCACATTACCTGTGGCCCTGGCAGCCTTGGCACCTAGTCGATGGGAATCCCCACTCTATCCGAATTGCCGCTTCCAGGTACAGCAACAGCACCACCACAACCAAGTAGCACTTTGCTCTCGTCTTAAGCCATCCCCGAGTTCCTTGCGAGCAGTCCAGACGGTCGACCAGCCTTGGAAAACTGAGAATGGAGCATCTGAATCTGCTGATAACGTTTCTCCTCCAGAGGTTGACGTTGTAATAGTTGGAGCAGGCCTTGCTGGTCTCGCGGCAGCACGACGCTTGCACAAAGAAGGCATCACATTCCAGCTGCTTGAAGCGTCGGATGGAGTTGGAGGTCGAGTGAGAAGTGACACCGTCCAAGGCTACGTCCTGGACAGGGGCTTCCAGATCTTCATATCCGCATATCCGGAGGCTGCAGAAGTTCTCGACTACCAAGCGCTGGAGCTCAAGAACTTTTATGCCGGAGCCTTTGTCTGGTTTGACGGACGCTTTCACAAAGTGGCAGACCCGTTCCGTCACCTGGTCGACGGCATACTGTCGCTTGGTAATCCGATTGGTACTATTCAGGACAAAATCCTCGTCGGCATTGTCAGGCTTCAAGCAGCATCACAACCATTTGAGAAACTTGTCTCGGCACCTGAAGTAGAGATCGGAGAAAAGTTGAAGACCGACGGCTTTTCCTCGCAGATGATAGATCGATTCTTCCGACCGTTCTTCGGTGGCATCTTCTTCGACAGAGAGCTGAAAACCACGTCCCGGCTTTTTAACTTCGTCTTCAAGTGCCTGGCTCTGGGACAGAACTGCCTTCCCGCTAAAGGCATCGGCGAAATATCACAGCAGCTTGCTCGAAGCCTTCCAGAAGAATCAATCAAGTTGAACTCCCGAGTACAAGAGCTGCTTGTCGGAGAAGACGGTAAAGTTTCAAAGGTGAGACTTGATACTGGAAAGGTTGTCAAGTCCAAGTACGGGATAATAGTGGCAGTCGAAGGTCCGGAAGCAGCTCGTTTGCTGAGCAGCAAAACAGCTTGCGAAAGCACCGATAAGCCAGCTCGCAGCACTGTCTGCCTCTACTTTTCTGCCGATAGAGCCCCAATCAAGGAAGCTGTCCTGCTCTTGAACGGCACTGACAAAGGCGTCATCAACAATATGTGCTTTCCCAGCAGCGTCTGCTCTTCGTACGCCCCTGTTGGAAAAGCTCTCGTCTCGGTAACATTGATCGGAAGATATTCCACCAGTTCCGATGCCGAGCTTGAGAAAATAGTGAGGTCCGAGCTCGAGGAATGGTTTGGGCGGGAAACAGTAGCGAAGTGGCAGCACTTGAAGACATACAGGATCTTGTTTGCTCAACCCGATCAGACTCCACCGACCAACCTCTCGAAAGAACCAAAAGTTGATGCAGGTTTGTACCTGTGCGGAGATCACCGAGTCTCAGCAACTTTCGACGGAGCACTTCTGTCAGGGAGACGAGCTGCTGAAGCGCTCCTTTCAGATTCCGAACTGAAAGTTCAGGGAAAGTGAAGCTCGAGTTACAAACTTGCATTGCCATACCTCCTACACATACAGAACAACACGCCCATCCTCTCCAACAGTTGCCAGCAAACGCGACGACGTTGTAGTTTTCACTTGTACGATTTTCGATTCTACATTGCACGCTTGCATAAGAGACGACTTGAAAAACAAGAATCTCATACCTTGGTCAAACATTTCAACCACCTTTTTCCAGTGGAAAATTCCCAAAGAAAAACTCGCCCCTCGTCAGTGCCAGCAACGGCTGCTGAGCATATTCTGCAATCGAATGTTATGAACAAAAAGTTCCAGTAGATTTTCATACCTGTTAGCAAGATCACTGCCAACAAACAAGGCATTATTCTCTAGCAGGGCCATTCTCCAGAGGTTCTGACGTTTCGCATCGTCTTTAACATTTTTCAGAAGCCAGACACAACAATCGTAGTCTCGATCTATGAAACCATCCACCAAAGAACGATCGACGACGTGAATGTCTGGAAAAGTTGTGGCATGAAGAAAGCAGCTGCTTTTTGGAGATATTCCTGTAAGATGTAATAAAAAAGAGAGTGAGTTTCTTGGACAAATGCAAACCAAAGTTAGAAATACCAGATTGCAACGTAGCCATCCATGTCACATCCAAGAACAAGGTGAGGTGCTTGAGGAACGATTTATAGCTTTAAAATGCTCCGGAAAGTCTTGGGGTTATATCTTGCAGGAGGGAGATCTGTTTCATACAAAGAATGCCTGAATAGGACGTGATTAATGCAAGGAAATACAAACGTGAAAAACGACTACCTCCAAGACGGATCCATGCGCCATTCTTTGATACAACCTTCATCTCCAGCAGCGACTAAAGAAAGAGCTCCTGTTATCAAAAGGCATCTCATTGCGGCAGTCGCAAATTGTTCAGCCTTCGGATCACGTTCGGCATTTGGAAGTAGCAGAGATATCATGCTGGCAAACAAGTCCGAGTTGTTTTGATTTTCTTCTGAGTTGGATCCCAACAATGACTGCTGACTGCGTCAAAAGAAAAAAATGAGATTCTCACTGCATTTCATGAGGAAGCTATTTGTACTTACGCTCTAGCCTAGATTTGGTGAATTATGTTCTTCTTCTCTCACGTGAAGTACCTCCGGAGTATCGGGCACAATCTTAGACTCCAGAGAAATCCCTCACCCGAGAGCTGCTCCAGTACCTCTTCTCCCACGGGCCCTGGAAAAGCGATCCAAGGGCCTCGATCTCCACCGATTGCTGCCGCATTGGCGCCGCTCTCCCCATCCTCGACCCAGCCTAGAACCACAAAAATTCCCGCGCTCGATGAGCACGTAAGTCGCAGCGTCGCTGGGATCCAACCCGGTCCGCGCGGATCACCTCCTCTTGTGCGTCACCCATCGGGCTCCAGCGGCATACTGCGGAGCAGCGCCTCGGCCTCGCCCAGCCTCCCACACCGCCCGAGCAGCTCGCTCTCCACCGCCTCCCCGTGCTCGCGCTTCCGCCAGCCCGCGTAGAACATCCCGCTCGACAGGAGCACGACGCGAGCACCACTCCATCCCTCCCTCCAACCATCGCGTTCCAGATCCCTCTCACGGTTCTTCTCGAACAGCATCCAGGCTCCCACACTTGGCGTGCAAGCTCGCGACTGCTGGAGTGGCGATTCCTAGCTCGAAAGCTCGGGTGTGGATTGCAGTGCCTTCGTCAAAATCCGCCGCGAGAGTTCATCTTTGGTTTTGAATTTTTCTTTCTTTATATACTGAATTTTATGGTGGAAGGCTGTCTCTCAAAATGCCTTCCACCACAATAAACATTTTTCTAGAAGTTCAATGCCAAAACTTTACTAATGCTCTTGCTTCTTTTTCTCTTCTATTCTTTCTATTCTTTGTATGTTGTTCACATATGTCTCCAGAATTGTTATTCTCAGCCCTATCAGCAATACTGATTTCCGGACAAATCAGAATAAAATTATAATTCTATTCTTTGTATGTTGTTCACATATGTCTCCAAAATTGTTATTCTCAGCCCTATTAGCAATACTGATTTCCGGACAAATCAGAATAAAATTATAAGTTAATGTTTATGTGTTTTAGAAAACTTCAAAGAAAACAATATATATAAATGATATGCAGAAAGTATAGTCTTATGTTTGAAGTAAGTATGTCTAGAAGTTGAAGTCTCTTGTTGTTAACGTTCTACCTGCTAGTAGGAATGGGTCATCAATGAGCCTTTTATCATATTGCCACGCATCACTTTTGAAGTAAGTGTACATTTTCTCAGCGAGTTGATGGATATATATAAACATACTGGATTGCTCGCTTTCACAGTTATCCCATTAGAATCTTTTTCACAATTAAATCCGCATCCGTGCCAGAAAACTTTCTCTTTACTCCACAATGCCTCCTCCTATGTGGCATCGCTGTTAAGATCTCCCCACTACCACAATGCTTGACGATCTAGGGATGTGCAAGCACGGCATCTAGAGTCACCCTCTTGCTCTGCTCCACAGCTAACATTCCCTGGATGAGATCCTCTGCTTCACACGACACCAAATCACTTGGGAATGCTCCAGCTCTCAGAAAATCAAATTCGACTCTCGATCGATACCCACTCAGCAGCTTGTACACAATGACTCCCAGCCCCCACATGTCCACGGCCGCTGTGTAACTCGCTCGTCGTCCTCGGGCTCCATCATTCTTCACAGCTACCACCTCGGGTGCCATGTACTTTGCTGTTCCACAATATTGCTGCATATCCCACTGCTTGTCCGAGGCCGTGCCAAAATCTCCAATCACCAGTTCATCTACTGCAGTGGTGTTGAGCCTCTGAAAGATGTTGTGATGCTTGAGATCGCAGTGGACGACCCCTCTCAAATGCATCCACTTGAATGTTTCTGCTAGCGTTTTAATAGTCTTGGCTACTTCTTCCTCAGTCATTGCCCCGCCCTGGATCAATCGCTTTGCCAAGCTAGGGCCGCAAAGTTCCATAACGATAGTCCCATAGCACCTCCCAGCTTCTCTCTCCCTCACGAAATCCTCAAAGGCCACGACTCCAGGGCAGACGCAAAGCTTGGACATGAGCCGAGCTTCGTTCTCGGCATTCCTCATCAATTTAACTCATTTCCCCGCATACTTCTTGCCAGCCCTGCGACGAGCACTCAACAAATAGACCTGCCCTTCGCCGCCAGATCCCAGCTTCTCACCCTGCCTGTACAACTTGAGGAGCTCACCACAGTCGTCCTCCCCAAACTCGCTCGCTCGCCAATTTTTTGACCTAGCTTCTCGCTAACGGGTACAAATCAACGGCTGGAATCGCGTTTGATCAACGGTGACGATCTTGTGATTTCAGGATAGTCGTTTATTTGAATCTGGATAGCCATGCTTCTCTACAAAATTGTACGCATGCATCCTGTGTTTTACACGCTCGGAGTGGCTCCTGCCGGATCAATCGCCCTCAAAGCACCACCAGAGCGATCAGAGCGTCACAAGGGACCAGCGGGATCAGAGAGTTCACCACGTCTCCAATCGAAAGCCTGTAGCTTGGCTCCATAGAACAGCAGCAGCAGCGACCTACACACGGATCTTGCATTAGAATCATCAAGTCAGCCAGCACTGGCAACAAACAAACCAAAACCGAAAGAAGAAGAAGAGGAAGAGGAAGGGCACTTACTTGGAAGAGTTGCTTCAAGTTGACAGTATCCTTGAACGCAGCATCCACAACGAGGGTAAAACTCGTGCGATCACTCAGCTCCGGCGTCCTCTTCAGCATGTAGATGACGATACGCAAACAAAATACGAGCCCAAATACGAGTCCTTGGCCACCTCTTCCTTCAAACTAACGGAAAGAAATCCCCACCTAGCTTTCCTGTCTCCGTGCTTCACTTGTTTCGTGCCATCTGGAGTCAAGAGCTTGGAGCGCCCGGCAGTGGCTCCTTAGCTCTTGCCTTCGTCATGAAAAACACATGCCAGTAAATTCCGCGCCCAACAAGAAAGAAACAAAGAGTTACCTAGCTTTCTGGAGGAGTTCCCAATGCACTGGTCCCGTAGTCATGTTGAAAGCTCCTGGATAGCAGATTATATGTACGCCTGGCACCAACATAGATTTTAATCCTCAGCAGCTACATGGTTAGTCTTCTTCCTACCTCGTGCTGCGTAAGTCATTGCCATCTAGCAAATACCAACACCGATTCGTCCAACATCTGAGTCAGTGAGCAATGTGAGTTATTTTGCTTGTCGCAATGCCTGCAGGACCTTACCCGAATCAACAGTATACTTCTGTATCTTTCCTGGTATATCGATGTCAAAAAAGTGAACCTGGTGTGAAAGAGGTCTGAGAAAAAACCGTAGACGACGCGTCAGAAAAGCAAACCTTCCGATGTTTACCTTTTAGAGAGCCATCTTTTCCGTAGATGCAGCAAGTATTGTAGAGATGATCGCACGTCGTTCTGATGATGGTAACCTCCTTACTCTTTGCCATGTCCGAAAGCATTTTGGAAGAGGGAGAATCGCCTGCGTAGATTGGAAAGCTCGCGTTTGAGTATGCACAATTCCACATTTCCTGTAACACATTCTCCTTATGACTGAACAGACAACTACAAAAATTAACTGGAAGAAGGATCAGCTTGCTGCCGCCACCAGCAGCCGTCCTTTTAAGCCGTCCTGTTCAAGGATAGCTCTGTCCCTTGTCTACGCAAGTCGAGAGCTGGCAAACGGCGAGCTTCAACTGCCACAAAAACAAAAATAATGTGCGGATGACACTAAAACTTCCACTCACCTTGCGCTGGTCACTACTCAAAACACCCCCGTTGGATCTCGTCCTGCAATCCAAGGAACCTCTTAAAACAAAACGAAGTGGCCATAGAGAGTATGGCGACCACATTACCTGTGGCCATGGTAGCCTTGCCACCTTGTCAATGGGAATCCCCATTCTATCCGAATTGCCGCTTCCACGTACAGCAAGCGCACCACCACAACCAAGTAGCACTTTGCTCTCGTCTTAAGCCATCCCCGAGTTCCTTGCGAGTAGTCCATGTTGGAAAATGGATCTGGACAGGCCGGGGATTGAACCCAGGACCTCCTACACCGGTGCCAGGTGCTCTACCACTGAGCTGCCTACCCTGGTTGTGTGCATGTTCAGCTTAGTTCCAACACTCCCCCCTAAGCTGAACACGCCACACATCCCTACCTGCCAGTCCATGTCTACCACAGGCCACTCCCCCCTAAGCTGAACACGCCACACATCCCTACCTGCCAGTCAGGCCATCCAACCATAGCTCCGATACCATGTTGGAAAATGGATTTGGACAGGCCGGGGATTGAACCCAAGACCTCCTATACTGGTGCCAGGTGCTCTACCACTAAGCTACTTGCCCTGGTTGTGTGCCTGTTCAGCTTAGTTCTAACAGTCCAGACGGTGTCACGGTGTCGATCCTGAGGATCGTCAAGGGGTGAAACGTCAATGGTGGGACGAGTCCGATTGCGTTTGGAGTTGGCTGCTTCATTGGCTTTTTCTGGTACGTAGTAGTTATTAGTATTCCAGCCTTGTTTGCACAGTAGTCACGAGAACAAACTCGTGATCAAATAGAATGCTCACGGGCTCTCAATCCCACCACCGTGAGTATGAAGTAAAGCCTTCATGGCAGCTTTGGACCGGAAGTAGCAGCTTCTACACAAATCCATCACCTTTCTATGAATTTGAGGGGCTTCTTGGCGGAACAGTGAACACAAACAAATTCAAAAATTCCAAGAAATAACGAATTAAACTTGGATTAAGAGTGTCTCCTCAACCTCTTTGATTCCCCACGGAGAGTTCTAGGTGAGGATATCAGATATGGTGAATAGATCAAATTGCAGTCAATGTAATGATCTGAGGAAACAGAACAAAGAAGAAAAGTTAACAAGGAAATTGACCATTTCACTGGGCAACGAATATTCGTTCATATGAATGCGCGGGGACATTTTGTTGGAGCTCGCTAGAGTGGCCGGCTACGCATGCTCCAGAGATGCGCGCTCTTGCCCGATGCAAAACTCGTCCACGCCCAAATCGATCGCGATCCCCTCCTCCTCCTCCTCCTCAACCAAATCGCGTGGGCCCACGCCTACGCCAGATCTCGCCGACGCGCGCGCCGTCATCAATGCCATCCCTCTTCTCCTGGAGCATCACATCGCTGCCTACGCCCGCCATGGCCACCACCGTCAAGCTCTGGATCTCTTCGACCAAATGGCAGCGCTGCGCCGCCGCCCAATGCGTTCGTTCTCTCCACGACTCTCGGCGCGTGCTCGGCGCTGCGTGATCTGGACCGCATCCACTCGCGGATCCAGCAGCGGCGTGGAGAGAATCTGGTGGTGCTGGAAACGGCGTTTCTCGGGATGTATGCTAGATCTTCCAGGTGATGGGCGTGGATCTCCACGTATCCCAGACCGGGCATCACACCAGTCCATTTGGGATCTTCCGGATCATGCTCCTCGACGCGGCGGTGGCACCCAGCGCTGCTACAATCTCCGCCATACTGCCTAGAAGTTTATGAAATCGTGAATATAGATTTATTTAAAATAATTAGGCCACTTTTGTACTATTAGGATTAAATTTATCTTGGGCCATAGTTATCTTTCTATCCTCTCTTTGGAACTTTAGACACTTTATTATTTTTATCTTTGAAAATCCTCACTCTATTCCAGCGAAAATCACAAGTGTAAGCACTGTCTTCTGGAAGCATTATAACATTAACACCACGTCCGACCTTACGTTGAATTATGCTCTTGGCTTGCTCGGCATCCGTTCTTAGAAGTTTATCCCATCTATCTGCAAAAGAGAATTTGCAAATTCAATCAGAAAATGAAAGAAAAATGTGGAGAGAGAGATTATACCATTGCTTCCATTCACAGTCAAAGCACAGACAACGAGCATAAGGAGGAGGATAGAAACATAGCCATTTATCTTCTTCATTCTCTCCAAGCTACTAATAACCCTAAACAATGGTGAGCCAGAGGCTATGCAGACTTTTTGTTGGATCCAAAAGAGGGGTTTAGGGTTTTCACGGAGGCGGGTCACTCGTACTCCCGATGCGGCACCTCCATCGCCAGCGCTAGAGCGCTGTTCCTGGGCATGGAGAGGAAGAGCCTGGTGGCCTGGAACACAATGATCGCGGATTATGCCCAGAGAGGTCAGCGGCGGAGGCCCAGGAGGTGTTCGAGGAGCCGGATGGATTTACTTTCGCATGATGTGGCGAGTACTGCGAGGCCAGCAAATTGCTGCGCGAGCAAAATCGTTGCCTGGTACGCGATGATCTCGCCCAGTTGGGGCATTTGCATGAAGCTCTGGAAACTGACCGGGAGATGGAACACCATGGCTCCGGCAGCCCCGATCTCTTCACCTTTGCAAGCGCTCTAGCCGCCGCAGCTGGGCTTGCATTTGCCGAGGCGACAGATCTAGATCGCGCACTGGAATGCTACCAGAGATCCACCTGTAAGCCCAATGGGATCACTTATGCTCGCTGCCTGCAGCGATCGTGGTGATCTTGGTCACGGCCGGCGCCTTCTCACTGACGCCCAGGATCGAGGGCTCTATCCCGATCGATTCGTGCAAAGCACGGCGGTGGCGATGCTAGATCTGCGAGGCCAGCAAATTGCTGCGCGAGCAAAATCGTTGCCTGGAACGCGATGATCTCGCCCAGTTGGGGCATTTGCATGAAGCTCTGGAAACTGACCGGGAGATGGAACACGATGGCTCCGGCAGCCCCGATCTCTTCACCTTTGCAAGCGCTCTAGCCGCCGCAGCTGGGCTTGGAGATCTAGACACCGGGAAGGCGATCCACGAGAGAATGGCGGCAGACAGATCGCTCAAGCTCGACGTCTTCTCCAACTGTGGGAGCTTGAGCGATGCCAAGCTCGTGTTCGATCGCATCCCGGACAAGGACGCAGTCTCCTGGAACTCGATGATCTCGACCTACGTGCGCCACGGCCGCTACAAAGACGCCATCGCCACGTACCGCGCCATGGACTCTCGCCCAGACGAAGCCACCATCGTGAGCGCGCTCGCGGCAGCGTCGGCTCTCGCGGATCTAACGCTCGAGCTCTCGAGCTAGGAATCGCCACTCCAGCGGTGGAGTCCGCGCTCGCAAGCTTGCACGCCAAGTGTGGAAGCCTGGACGCGCTGTTCGAGAAGAACCGGGAAGGATCTAGTGGGAGGCTGGGCGAGGCCGAGGCGGTGCCCCGCTGATGCCGCTGGAGCGGTGACGCTGGTGGCCGCTTGCGTGCTACGCGAGGAGGGGCTATTTTGGCGGGAAGTTTTGTGGTCGGGGTTAGGGTTCTAGGCTGAGGCGAGGATGGGGAAAGTGGCGGCAGTGCGGCAGCAATCGGTGGAGATCGAGGCCCTTGGATCGCTTTTCCAGGGCCCGTGGGAGAAGAGGTACTGGAGCAGCTCTCGGGTGAGGGATTTCTCTGGAATGTAGCTGCTGTTTTGTTGATTTTGGGAAGAATGCGAGCAGGGAAAGAAGCGGTACCCTTTTCCTGTGGGATACAGAGCTCTGGCGAGGAAGGGAGGCGAGACATACGCGATGGAAATCCGAGCGGATAAGCTCGGGCCTTTGTTTGCGGTGAGTTTTTTCCTTTTCGGTTTTCTTGCGCGTTTCTTGATGGAAACTTTCAAGGTACGCTGCGGGGAGATTGAAAGCACGGGTCCATCAGCAAATGCCGCTTGGGAAGCGATGATGAAAATCCAGCATCCAGGAACTCGTTCTCTTGGAGGCAATGGCGAGAAGGTAATTGTTCTTTTCTTGTCTTTGTCTCCATTGCAAAAAACAATTCTATCTGGGCAGATGTTTGGCTTTGCAGATCCTGTTGTGCAGTATCTCCTACGTGAACTAGTTTCTGCTTCATCGAAAAAAGATGAGACAGAAGTCAATGTGCAAAGTTCGCCCAGCTCTCGTTCTCCAGACGTGTTTCGTTCTTCAGTGATTCGGGAAGGAAATAGGAAGCGAGTGTTATCTCCGCGGCCAGGAGACAAGGGTGTGAGGTCGTCTCAACGGCTGAAAACAGACAAGAACTCGCAAGAGCGTCACGGTGCAGAAGATTCTTGTAAGTTTTCAATTCTATTTTTCTTCTTTTGATAAACTTTTATGGACTGAGTAGGTCCAGAAAATGTTTATGTCTCGGATTCGGAACCCGAGCTGGAACCGAAGATTGTGCCCGATACTCTGGAGGAACTTCACATGAGAGAAGAACCCGAGCTGGAGTCTAAGATTGTCCCTGATACTCTGGAGGTACTTCACGTGACAGAAGAACATAATTCACCAAATCTAGAGTGTAAGTACAAATAGCTTCCTCATCAAATGCAGTGAGAATCTCATTTTTTTCTTTTACCAGTGACAATCGGCACCAGTCAGCAGTCATTGCTGGGATCCAACTCAGAAGAAAATCAAAACAACTCGGACTTGTTTGCCAGCATGATATCTCTGCTACTTCCAAATGCCGTCCCTCTCATGAAGAAACGTTCAAGAAGAAGACAGAGACAAGATCTCTCCAAAAGAGATGTGGCGGAAAGTCCTATAGACTTCGGGATGGGTAACACGGCATTGGAGACCTCCGTAGCCAAAGACCCGATCAAGCAAGGTGACACGACGGCCATGACAACAAATATCTTTGACAACCAACAGAAAGCACCTACTGGCCTTAGACTTCGCGTCGACAAGCAGCTTACCACCGCAGTTGAGCGTCAAGCTGGAGAGGAGTCCATTGTTGAAGAGCCTAGCAACCAAGTTGACAACGCCGAAACATCTCAGCAAACAAAGAATATCGACGAGTACACACAATGTGTTGGCGGAAACTTAATCGAGTCCTCGTCACCCATATTCATCGTCAATAAGCTCGCGCTTGAACAAGTCACGACGCAGCTCTTTGAGGCTGTACAAAAGGATTCGACGATCACAGCAGCCAACGCTTTGGACGACCATTGTGCTGATTCGGAGAACAAGCGGTACATTATCTCGGATACTCTTGAAAGGCTACCAGCGGAGCCTTCTGCTGACGAAAAGTTCCAGGATGGACATGTCAAGTCACTTGATGCAGCGTGCGTGACGGACAGTCGGATAAGGAACACTTCGGCCGAACAAGCTCCCAACAATGCTCTATACCCGAAGTCAATACCTTTCACAGGCGCTGGTTCCATGGACGTAACCGCGAACAAGCTGACTAGCCCGAATGAGCTTGAACAAGTCACGGCGCAGCCCAGCCAGCTCTTGGTAAAGCAACTTGAGACTGTCGAAAAGAATTCGACGATCGCCGCAGGCAATGCTTTGGATGATTTGGACACCAAGCGGTACACTAGTTCGGATATACTTGAAAGGCTACCAGCGGAGCCTTTAGCTGAAGAAACGTGCCAGATTCTGGGAGATGTGGAGCTACTTGATCTAGAAAATCCAGCATACGTGGCGGACAGTCGAAGAGAAAACACTTCGACCGAACAAGAAAAGCATGCTTCCAACAATGCTTCAGGCCACAAGTCTGGTTCCATCAACGAACAAGAAGTATCTACTACGGATACATGGACCAAAGTGCCGGAAGCTGATGAAAAGGATCCCGTAGCCAACGATTTGGACATGCAGTCGAGAGTATTTACCGGCTTTAGTTCCATCAGCAAGCGGCTTACTAGCTCGGACATGCTAAAACCCGTCGCTGCTTTTGAGCACGACCTTTCAGTTCTTTGCGTGGCACTCAACGCAAGGAGTCAGGAGGTGGATATCTGCGTCTCTTGTGGTCCTCTGGGGAAGCACGGTGTACAACTATATGTATACCGTATTTCCCTTGACAACAACTTGCTATCGGAGGCAACGTTGCTACAGTCCTTTTCACTGGATTCTTACGAAAATTTTGGAACAGACTCTCTGAAGGTTTGTTCTGTGTTTCTTTCTATTTGACTTACATTATTTTCGCAGCAGCAAGCGGAGTTTGGAATTCAACTCACTCCAGACGGAGACAGCCTTCTGTTGCTGGGAGCTTTTGCTGTTCATAGACCCGAGCTTCCCAGTCAGTCAAATATAGTGCGGGTGGTTTCTCTTGCTGAACGTGATCCGAAGGCTGAACTTTTTGCGACTGCCGCAATGAGATGCCTTTTGATGACAGGACCTCTTTCCTTGGTCGCTGCTGGAGATGACGGTTGTATCAAAGAATGGCGCATGGATCCGTCTTGGAGGTAATCGCTTTTCATGTTTGTATTTCCTTGCATTAATCACGTCCTATTCAGGCATTCTCTGTATGAAACAGATCTCCCACCTGCAAGATATAAAGACAAGACTTTCCGGAGCATTTTAAAGCTAGTCATCGTTCCTCAAGCACCTCACCTTGTTCTTGGATGTGATGCGGATGGTTACTTTGCAATCTGGTATTTCTATCTTCGGTTTGCAGTCCAAGAAACTCACTCTCTTCTCTTACATCTTACAGGAATATCTCCAAAAAACAGCTACTTTCTTCATGCCACATTTCAAGATATACTTTTTCAGACATTCATGTCGTAGATCTTTCTTTGGTGGATGATTTCAGAGATCGAGACTACGATTGCTGTGCTTGTCTTCTGACCAATGTCAAGGACGATGCGAAACATCAGAACCACTGGAGAATGGCCCTGCTAGAGAATGATGCCTTGTTTGTTGGCAATGATATTGCTAACAGGTATGAAAATCCACTGGAACTTTTTTGTTCATAACATTCGAGTGCAGAATATGCTCAGCAGCCGTCATGGGACCTTATGGGGTTGCTGGCACTGACGAGGGGCGAGTTTTTCTTTGGGAATTTTCCACCGGAAAAAGAGTGGTTGAAATGTTTGAACAAGGTATGAAATTCTTGATTTTCAAGTCGTCTCTTATGCAAGCGTGCAATGTAGAATCGAAAATCGTACAAGTGAAAACTACAACGTCATCGCGTTTGCTGGCAACTGTTGGAGAGGATGGGCGTGTTGTTCTGTATGTGTAGGAGGTATGGCAATATAAGTTTGTAACTCGAGCTTCACTTTCCCTTAACTTTCAGTTCGGAATCTGAAAGGAGCGCTTCAGCAGCTCGTCTCCCTGACAGAAGTGCTCCGTCGAAAGTTGCTGAGACTCGATGATCTCCGCACAGGTACAAACCTGCATCAACTTTTGGTTCTTTCGAGAGGTTGGTCGGCGGAGTCTGATCGGGTTGAGCAAACAAGATCCTGTATGTCTTCAAGTGCTGCCACTTCGCTACTGTTTCCCGCCCAGTCCATTCCTCACGCTCGGCATCTGAACTGGCGGAATATCTTCCGATCAATGTTACGGAGACGAGATCTTTTCCAACAGGGGCATACGAAGAGCAGACGGTGCTGGGAAAGCACATATTGTTGATGACTTTTGCCAGTGTTCTTGATTGGGGATCTATCAGCAGAAAAATAGAGGCAGACAGTGCTGCGAGCAGGCCTATTGGTTTGCGCAGACAAGGAACAGAACATCAGGCATGCTCGTGAAGCTATCCAGACGGCTGCTGATGGCGGCAGCAAGCTCATCCTTTGTCCAGTTAAGTTTTGTAGTGTTCAGTCATAAGGAGAATGTGTTCCAGGAATACTCAAAAGCGAGCTTTCCAATCTACGCAGGCGATTCTCCCTCTTCCAAAATGCTTTCGGACATGCCAAAGAGTAAGGAGGTTACCATCATCGGTGGCTCCATACCGGAACGACGTGGCGATCATCTCTACAATATTTGCTGTTTCTAAAAGGTAAACATCGGAAGGTTTGGTTTTCTGACGCGTCGTCTACGGTTTTTTCTCAGCCCTGTTTCACACCAGGTTCACTTTTTTGACATCGATATACCAGGAAAGATACAGAAGTATACTGTTGTTGATTCGGGTAAGGTCCTGCAGGCATTACGACAAGCAAAATAACTCACATTGCTCACTGACGCAGATGTTGGACGAATCGGTGTTGGTATTTGCTAGATGGCAATGACTTACGCAGCACGAGGTAGGAAGAAGGCTAGCCATGTAGCTGCTGAGTATTAAAATCTATGTTGGTGCCAGGCGTATATATGATCTGCTATCCGGGAGCTTTCAACATGACTACGGGACCAGTGCATTGGGAACTCCTCCAGAAAGCCAGGTAACTCTTTGTGTCTTTCTTGTTGGGCGCGGAATTTACTGGCATGTGTTTTTCACGACGAAGGCAAGAGCTCAGTGTGAGGAGCCACTGCCGGGCGCTCCAAGCTCTTGACTCCGGACGGCACGAAACAAGTGAAGCACGGAGACAGGAAAGCTAGGTGGGGATTTCCTTCCGTTAGTTTGAAGGAAAAGGTGGCAAAGGAATTCGCAAGGCCTCGAGTTTGGAACAGCGGGCCCCGCTGCAGCAGAAAACGGGAAAGATGGCGGAGGAGACACCAGGCAGAGGCGCAGAGATGACAAACAAGGAACAAAACGCCAAGAATCACAGCAAAACCAGCACCACTAGCAGCACCAGAAGGCCGCCCTGGTGCCTGCACAGCGTCAAGAGCAACCTCCACCACCAGCATGGAACGCTGTCCGATGACGAAGTGACATTGGCAGGACCCACAACCAACGAAGAGGAGACCAGAGGAGTGGCGATGCTGGTGGATACCAGAGATGAGAACGCCGAATTGACGGAGCTGAACAACCGGGAACTCACGGTGTTGCAGTGCTCGGCTGCGGTTATCATCGGTGTTCTTTGTGACGGTGTCAAGGTTTGCTCTTCCAAGAAGCTTTGATTTCTTTGACATGTTAAACGTGAGAATGTGTGTGCTCCAGGGATTGCAAGGCTGCTTGGAAGGCAGAAAAGCGGGCTATTCGTGGTGGACGCTCTTCAAATATTTTGTCGTTGCTGCTGGGCTCGTATTTTGTTTGCGTATCGTCATCTACATGCTGAAGAGGACGCCGGAGCTGAGTGATCGCACCAGTTTTACCCTCGTTGTGGATGCTGCGTTCAAGGATACTGTCAACTTGAAGCAACTCTTCCAAGTAAGTGCCCTTCCTCTTCTTCTTCTTTCGGTTTTGGTTTGTTTGTTGCCAGTGCTGGCTGACTTGATGATTCTAATGCAAGATCCGTGTGTAGGTCGCTGCTGCTGCTGTTCTATGGAGCCAAGCTACAGGCCTTTGATTGGAGACGTGGTGAACTCTCTGGTCCCGCTGGTCCCTTGTGAACGCTCTGATCGCGCTGGTGGTGCTTTGAGGGCGATTGATCCGGCAGGAGCCACTGCGGCACAACAGAGCGTGTGAAACACAGGATGCATGCGTACAATTTTGTAGAGACAGATTCAAATAACGAATATCCTGAAATAAATTCAGGGTAGGGCTTCCGTCTTTACAAGATCGTCACCATCGATCAAACGCGGTTCCAGCCGTCGATTTGTACCCGTTAGCGAGAAGCTAGGTCAAAAAATTCGCGAGCGATGGCGTGCGAGTTTGGGGAGGACGACTGTGGTGAGCTCCTCAAGCTGTACAGGCGGGGTAAGAAGCTGGGATCTGGCGGTGAAGGGCAGGTCTATTTGTTGAGTGCTCGTCGCAGGGCTGGCAAGAAGTATGCGGGGAAATCAGTCAAATCGATGCGGAATGCCGAGAATGAAGCTCGGCTCATGTCCAAGCTTCGTGTCTGCCCTGGAGTCGTCGCCTTTGAGGATTTCGTGAGGGAGAGAGAAGCTGGGAGGTGCTATGGGACTATTGTTATGGAACTTTGCGGCCCTAGCTTGGCAGAGCGATTGATCCAGGGCGGGGCAGTGACTGAGGAAGAAGCAGCCAAGACTATTAAAACGCTGGCAGAGACACTTAAGTGGATGCACTTGAGAGGGGTTGTCCACCGCGATCTCAAGCCTCATAACATCTTTCAGAGGCTCAACACCAGTGCAGTGGACGAAGTGGTGATTGGAGATTTTGGCATGGCCACAGACAAGCAGTGGGATATGCAGCAGTATTGTGGAACAGCAAAGTACATGGCACCCGAGGTGGTAGCAGTGAAGAGTGATGGAGCCCGAGGACCACGGGCGAGTTACACAGCGGCCGTGGACGTGTGGGGGCTGGGAGTCATTGCATACGAGCTGCTGAGTGGGTATCGATCAAGAGTTGAATTTGATTTTCTGAGAGCCAGAGCATTCCCAAGTGATTTGGCATCGTGTGAAGCAGAGGATCTCATCCAGGGAATGCTAGCTGTGGAGCAGAGCAAGAGGGTGACTTTAGATGCCGTGCTTGCACATCCCTGGATCGTCAAGCATTGTGGTAGTGGGGAAATCTTAACAGCGATGCCATACAGGAGGAGGCATTGTGGAGTAAAGAGAAAGTTTTCTGGCATCGGTAAGGACTTGATTGTGAAAAAGATTCTCGCGGGATAGTTATGAAAGCGTTAACTTATATTTTTGGTTTGATTTTTCCAAAAATTGATATTGCTGATGGGGTTGAGAACAATGATCTTGGAGACATATGTGAACAACATACAAAGAATAGAAGAAGAAGAAAAGAAGCAAGAGGGTTGATAAAGTTGAAGAGGTTTAAGGTGGAATACATTTTAAAAAACAGTCTTCCACCAAAGAATTGTCAACAACTTTCAAAGAAAGAAGATTTCATCCATGAACATTATAATCTGAAATTGCAATTTTCTCATTTTGCAAACCAATCTCAATCTCCTTGAGTGAGAGATTTGGATAGGAGCTTCGGCCTGCCTGGTGTCTCATCGATCACCTTGCCAACCGTGCCCCAGAAGCTTTAGCGTCTCCAGAAAGAGCATAAATACAAACATGATGAATCCAAGAGAATAGTGAAAGAGATCTTTCTGGCCAGCAGGTACTCCTCGTCTGCTCGAGCCAAATCCTAGCCTCCAAAAACTGGATACTTCAGATAATTCACTCCAGTAGGGAATCCCAACTGAACTGGCAAGCTGCACTTCTTTTGAGCTAGTTGACCTGTCAAAGCACAACTTGACAGTAGAAATTCCATGGGAGCGTTGTGCAACCTTCAAACCCTAGGAATGGAAAGAAACAAGCTGATTGGACAAATTTCATGGCCCCTGCTTGAGAACTGCACAAAGTGGGAGCAGCTGAAGCTGGGGAACAACTCTCCACGACGCCAACATTGACATACCAGCATTAAAAAGATCATTGATTTGATAAGTTTCCTGCATCTCTTGCCAACTTCCATTGGTTAGGAATTTTACCATTTTGAAGGAGTCTTGCTGCAAGTGTTGGATGGTTTAGGCAATCACTTCCATGGAGAGCTTTTGCAGTCAATTCATGGAGTCATCTTGGAAGTCAACGGGGAGTCAGCTAAAGAATATTCTGTTACAATATATATTACCTCTTAAAGAATATTTTGAATTTTTAGTACAGTTTTTCAAATATGCTATGGATATTCTTTTATAATAAATTAATATTTAAAAATATTTCATCATTATAACTATATATTAAATCATGTAATTATTACAACTATACTTTATGTAGTACCTATAAACAATTATATAACTAGCACTTGCCCAACATATGTTGTTCTATTAGCAAATACTATTATGAATGATATAGTTATAATAGAAGCTTCTCAAGACCATTTTTAGAACTGGAATTAAAATATTTTAGAATTTCTTTCAGTGCTACAAACAATGCATGGAACAAAAATCAAACTCAACAAAAAATTCAGGGAGGTAAAAATATTTAATATAAAACATCCTTATATACTATGTTGATGGTGAAAGTAGAAAGACTCAAAGGGAATAAATGTCCTTTAAGTGATGTGTTATGTACTTTAATGTTGAGTTCTACTAGTGATTTGCATTTTGATAAAACCACATAAAGTTGGCCATGGGTGAAAACTGAATGTGGCAAGTGTATTTTGACTCGGTTAAATATCTAGCTTTGACATTTAGAGATTGTAAGGCAATACCCCAAATGCATTGGAAATTGTCTTTTGGACATTTTAAATGAAATTTCTATGTATGAAGGTGAGTGTGATTTGAGGGATGAAAGCTTATGGACTTTTGAATTGGCTTAATATAATTTCATATTGTAGAACTGTTAGTAAGGCATGTTTAAGGATGAGGTATGTATTATTACATAGTCTAGCTAATGAACATATATTCTTTAATAGAATAAGGATAACATCTTCTTTAAGCAAGAGTTTATTTGGTGGAAGACTAAAAGGAGTATTGGAATTTAGGAATTCAATTAGGAAATTTTTTGGGTGTTCAATATTAACAATGTCAACACTTTCATGAATATCTATGTCACAAAGTGTCGCGAATGTGACTTTGGGTATCGAAAGTTACCTGTCGGCTAGTCTTTACGGACACTCTTTCCTTACTGCCACGATGGCAGGAGGTCGGTATTGCTGGTTCCTTTTATTGGCCCCTCTTGTTCAAGTGTTAGTAAATTGGACTTAGCATCTGTACTTGGCCGGATAAGCATAAGGAAGGAATTCCTAAATGTCTATTTAGCTGAGCATACTCGGCCCGGCTTGTTAGTTCTTTTTTGCTCTGTCTTGCACTAGCTTGACAAAAACCTTTGCATATTGAGACTAGTCCCTCAATAACATTGGATGATAGCTTACCGTGTCTGCCAAACACCCTCGCTATCATGCCCTTTGTGTTAGTCTTATTCCGGTCCTAAATGCTATTTATGGAAAGCATCCAGATTTGCTTATTTGGCATATCTATGGAATGTAAAGATTTTCTTGAACACAATAGTATTCATCCCGTGTCCAAATTTGCAATCTGGCGCCATTCCATAGTAAGTTTTGAGCTTGTCCCAGAGACTAACTCCTGATACTAAGGGAGGCTTGGGGTGAAAGCCCAAAGCATGTGTTCCTTAAGGGGGGTGGAGGGATAGTGGGTAGGTCGGGCATAGCCGACCAACTTGAGGCATAGTCTAACTCCCACTTGCATGTCTATCCTTGTTCTACATCTAGCTTAGGTCTAAGCCTAAGTTTCATTCCATGCTAGCTGGTGGAGTACCCATATCCTTGTGTTAGACTATTGGTATGCCGAAATAACGCCAAACTCCGTTTGGCTCCGTTTTGCATGCTGGTCTTGGCATTGGGAAGCTGGTTACTCTAGGACTGTTCCAACTTGCTCCAGGCTCCTGTCCCTTCACTCTTTGGGCTATATGCTCGGGAGTTGCTCCGTGGTCCAGTTCCGTCACTCTTTGGCTCCATGCTTGGGAGTTTGGCATTGTTCCTTCGTTCAGTGGCCCAAGGCCCTAAACCTTGGGTTCCGCACCACTGTCCTTTGGACACGTGACATATGACATGTGGCATGTGTCACATGGCATAAAAAGGGTTTAAGTTCCACTTCGTGGTGTTATCCTATGGTAAATCACCATAGGATAAAGAGAACTATACAATGAGATTAAGCAACTAGTCTCATTGTATATGCAAAGATGAAAACAATGATCCGAGTGGGTACATGTTGGGTGCAAAGGCTTCACAATCGTTCCTTGGGTAGGGATTTGGTTACCTTGTTGTACCTTATTATCTGAGCTTGCTTTTGGGCTCATAAGATGGATTTGAGATATTCCAGTTGCACGAGTTTGAGCTTGGGCTTGTGAGTGAAGCACATTAGCAACTCAAAGTTACACTTTGAGTTGGCAGGATTAATGTTAGCTTATCGGTGTTGTTCTAGTGGTTCCATGAGTTGTTCCATGTACCATAAGTTAAAGCAAACCTTCCCTGGGTTTGCTATGAGTGGCAAATAGACTGGTCCGTCGCTATTTAGCACTATAGTAGTGGATCCTTCCTAGGCATGATTATAAGTGGATCAATCAAGATTGTAGCGATTAGTCTATTAGTTCAAGTAGTCATTGCCATGCTTTCTCATAAACTTTTCTTAGATTGGACTAAAGATAGTGCGAAAGCAAGATTGAGGTTTGGTCAAAAGATGAGACCGAAAAGAGAGTTGTCGAGGACGAAGGATCAAACACATAAATCATTTTCTCTTCTTGGAGAGATGATTTGCAACAAGGTGTAACTCATTGCTCGTGTTCACATTATACAATCAAGAGTCCCTACCTTGATGCATTTTGGAGATGATGATCTTTCATTTTGTCTAAGTTTGTTATTGGAGGACTTGGGTTGCAATGCTCAATTCTTTGAAGTAATGACATGGGTGTTGCTCATGATGTTGCTTGATTGATGATCAAGTCATTATGAATATATATCATATCCATGTGATAGTGAGCAATGTGTTTATGAAGTTGCTTGGAGGACTTCTATTGTGTAGATTAATTATTCCATGTGAGGCAACTACAGTGGATACTTTCATCACATATACGTTCAAATTTAGGGGTAGGAATATACCTTGCTCAAGGGTATATTATATTTTTAAGTAGCCACTAA